TTGATTCAACCCCTCAGCTGTGAATTTTTTCTTATCCAATGTGAACACAATGTACAGATCACATATCACCTGGCTGATCCTGTTTATGCAGTTTTTCCATACTTCAACATCAAGAGCAGTATATTGCACAGTGTATCTGGCAGGCTTTTAGACCTAGCATCAACACTGCACTCTGCGTCCTTTTCTTAGGTGAAAGCCCTCACCCTGTTTGTGACCCATTACCCTCCTCTGTGTGAGTTGGAGCGGGTGTATCCTGAACACGTGTCAAACTTCCACATGGCTTTCCTACTCAATGAACCTGACATCAACACTGACGGTATGTGTGTGCCCATTGTTGTGTGTATTTAAAAATGATTTCAAAGTTTTTATGTCACGTATTGTAGCGGTTGACTGCTGCCTTGCAGGTCTGCTACATTTACATGAATCTTACTTTTTTGAATCATAATCACGTTGCACTTGTTTATTTTTAACTTGTTTATCTGCATATGCTGACAGACGGAGAGGTCCAGCCAGAGTTCATCACTTTCCTCTACCAGCTAACTGAAGGAGCTGCAGGACGGAGCTACGGTCTCAATGTCGCCCGATTGGTTGACATCCCAGTCCCTATACTACACACTGCTGCACGCAAAGCTCGAGAGCTGGAGAACACGGTCAACGCCAGGAGGTACAGCAAACACGAATACACGTACAAATCTTATCATGAAGGCAGTTATTTTATCTTTAGTCCTGATGTTCGCCAGGTGAACAGAAGAACAATATGTGGTTCTGCCTTTTTTGTGCTTGAGCACCTTAAAACACCTTTATGATATAAACACAAGTAGCATTTTGGGAAATGTAGAGCCTGACGCATATCAAAGAGTAAAATGTAGCCTCCTCTGCTTTGATTTCTACTTTCAAGTCCCCCAAGATTATTCCAGTTTAATACTTTCTTTAAAACCTCTCAAAATAAATCGTTTTCCTGTGCAAATGGAGCTTTACTGCTTATAAAAAAGATAACCCAAGAAAGCTCTGCTGACACTATACTGAATGTTTATTTAAACTTAAGACTCACATGAACTTAATTTCATTTTGTGCTAAGACCTTAGAACCAATAATAGTGGAAAATCAGACCGCTGAAAAATGTGGCCTATTTAATTCTAAGGGATGGAATTCCAGTTTTAGCTGCTTTTAGTTTAGGTTACTTTGGCTGCATCTCACTTCGGTTAAATGAAATCCTTGCTTCCCTCACTTGCGTCGTTTCCCTGCGTTTAGTCCCTCCCACCAGGGAAGCATGGAGAGACGCAAGGAAACCACGAGAAGCAGGGAAATGAGTTTTAAGAGCAATGGGACGTCCTTTTCTCCGGAGCGTCACGTGAAGCGACGTCCGTTTGTGATGACGCTGCACAGCTGATCGTTTGACAGCAGCTCTGTCCCCGTTATTTCCACACACATCCCCGCCACACATTTACTGACACAAACATTTGTATCAATTGTTAAAATAAAATAAGAACTCATTCTCAAAAAAGATAAACGCCATTCTTAAAATGTATAAACGAACAATAGTTTGATTGAATCATATTGATTAGAGTGCACAATAGAAATAAAAGAATTGATAGAAGAAAGAGAGATATGTTATCTATCAAAACCCAGTTAGTTTAACATTCATTGGATTGCACACTTTGTTTGTTTGTGTGGATATGTAGCACATTAACATTTTAATAGCACTTAATGACTGACTGAATGGAAATGACAATACATGAAAATGTAAAACGAAAAAAGTGATCATGAAAATGTTTCCAATAAATGAAGAAAATTATTTTTGACCACTTTGTTGTTCAGATATATCACATATTTGTAACTAAATGAAACAGGAATTGAAACAAAACACAGTATAAACTGAGGAGTGACTCCCGTGAGTTTCATGTGTCTTCTTCACTCCGCTGGGAAACTGCTCTCATGTCAAGAAGCAACAGATCAGTGCATGCACTGCATCGTCCAATCAGTGAGCGATACACAGTAAGGGGCCACTTTCTCTCAATACACCTTTTTTTTCTCTGTAGGCGTGTACACTGCATCTCTTTCGCTCTGTAACAGACATCCTACTGGGACTTGATTGCTGCTTAGCCTCTGCCTTACTAATCCTCACAATATGAAATATCTAACACACACTCACCCACATACACATACTCACACACATACTCACACACATACTCACACACATACTCACACACATACTCACACACATACTCACACACACACACACACACACACGTAATCCTCCCTATATTAAATGTTTGTCCTTTGCTGAAGTGAAGCCGTGCTGAGTAAACAATAATCGTACACAGAGGAGTTGGGCTGCTGGTTGTACGTAAAGAAGAGGGATTTTATTGTGCTCTCACACATGGTATATTTAGGCTGAACACAAACAGGGGATGTGAGAATATACAATAGTCTAATATACAATGTGTTGTTAAACTGTTTGTCACTGTGTCTTTGTCGCCGTTCCTTTAGGAGGACTAAAAAACTTCTCTCAGATCTCTTGAGCATCTCGGACAGATCATCCCTCATGGCGTGGTTGCAGTCACACTCTTCATTGGTGCAACACCAGGAAAACACACACCCTGCAATTAGTGAATGATCCTGCTCAAAGAAGAATACACACAGAGGTTCAGAAGTACAAACTTGTCTTAGAATGAGTGGAGTCGTTTTTGTTGGTGTTTGCGTGTGCGTGTGTGTGTCACCATCATGTGAACTGTAGCTGTATTCTAAATATCAGTTAATACGGACTGACAAGATTTCACTTCCAGACTATATTTGAAATCAGTGTTTGATGATTAAAAAATAAAAAATATATACTTGCTGTTCTTCACCTTAAATAAACTTTGATGCAGCTGGACCTTTGATGTATTTTTCCTCAGTCTTCTTTCTTTGAAATATTTGGAACTTACATTACCCAAAATGCATCTCGATGCTTGCGATTGGAAATGTTTGTTACGCTAGTAGCAGCTAGGGCTATGAGGGGCCGTACAGGCCATAATTCATACTGGTCCTCTCACGCACATACATTCTTCTTTTACATACATATATGTTCACTCTTAAATACATACATTCTCCTTTTACATACATATATTTTCACTCTTACATACATACATTCTCCTTTTACATACATATATTTTATAATATATGCATGTCTGAAGACAATATATGTATGCAAGAGAAGAATGTATGTATGTGTGAAGACAATATATGTATGTGAGAGAAGAATGTATAGTGGAAACGGAAGGAGTATGGTTGAAACGGAAGGCAGGTCATTCTTGCGCTGTGATTGGCTCAGAAGGTCGAGCGGGGTGGGCTCATGTTCAGAACTTCTGATTTCAAATCAACATAACATGATGGAGGGAGATGAATCGCGTAGATTGCAGCAAGCATTAGGGGTTTTAAGGAACATTTTGGTCAACCCCTGAAACTGTCACATCCCTGGCCAGGTGTCCTTGCGGGTGCGTTCGCTTTACTTATCAGAGCGTGCCGTAAGGGCGGTTACTCTTTGGTTTATAAACTCCCGCCTGGGACGGACTGATGCATTAGATGATGTGCTATATGGAGGGGACTTTGACAGAGTATTTCTCACAAAGTACACAGTAAAAGTACTTCAATGTATTGTTAGTAGCAGTCAAACTAGTACCGAGTCCAACAGTGTCCGTTTTATGAAGAACTTGTGGTAAAATATATTTGTAAAAAGAAAATGAAGAGCTACTGATTTGAAAAAACGGCTTTCTGTATAGTTTAAATCTCTTAACAATGTTGTCCATTTATTCTTCTCCCCTCGAGTCCAACAGTGTCAGTTTTATTAAGAACTTTCAGTAAAACATATTTGTAAAATATGAAGAGCAGCTGATTTGAAAAGACAAACGCGAGAGACGGCTGAGTGACCGCAGTGCAGAATCGCTGTATAGTTTAAATCTCCTAACAATGTTGTCCATTTTAGACACATGCTTATTATATTTACAGCCTTAATAACATTCATTTTCTGGGCTCAATGTGTGTCTTGGCCGTTTTCGTTGTGATCGCTAAATTCACCTTGTTTATAATTATGTTCAACGTTCCAAGCAAACGAGTGCTTTTGTTTTGAAATCACTTCCGCGAGTATCGCGCCCCCCCCCCTCGCTACAATGACCATTAGACCATTTAGTAAGGTAAAAAACAAAAATCAAAAACGCCTCGCAGACACTCTTCCGTTTACTTGTTTAATAAAGAAAAACAAGTGGTCCGTAGATACACGGAGTCATCTAACCCTAACCCTCTCCCTCCATCATGTTGATTTGAATCAGAAGTTCTGAACATGAGCCCACCCCGCTCGACCTTCTGAGCCAATCACAGCGCAAGAATGACCTGCCTTCCGTTTCAACCATACTCCTTCCGTTTCCACTATACTTTCTCTCACACATACATACATTCTTCTCTCACATACATATATTGTCTTCACACATACATACATTCTTCACTTGCATACATATATTGTCTTCAGACATGCATATTATAAAATATATGTATGTAAGAGGAGAATGTATGTATGTAAGAGTGAAAATATATGTATGTAAAAGGAGAATGTATGTATGTAAGAGTGAAAATATATGTATGTAAGAGGAGAATGTATGTATGTAAGAGTGAACATATATGTATGTAAAAGGAGAATGTATGTATGTAAGAGGAGAATGTATGTATGTAAGAGTGAACATATATGTATGTAAGAGGAGAATGTATGTATGTAAGAGTGAACATATATGTATGTAAAAGGAGAATGTATGTATGTAAGAGTGAAAATATATGTATGTAAAAGGAGAATGTATGTGCGTGAGAGGACCAGTATGAATTACGGCCTGTACGGCCCCTCATATAGGGCTGAGGTCTTTTAGCCTGCTACACACACACGCACGCACGCACACGCACACACACACACACACACAACTCACGCTCCGCCTTTCAATTCACAAACTCCAAGATCAGCCCACACCAGCAGAGAGAGAGAAAGAGAGAGTTGAATGGAGAGAGCGAGAGAGAGAGTTAAAGGAGGGTGAGAGAGAGAGAGAGTTGCCACTGTCCAAGCCGATTACAGTTTATCTGGTCTGTGATTCTGTCACTGTCCACTTGAGGGTTCTCCACTTTGTGGACGAGACGCTCCCGCTTTCTCCTGCTTGATTGTTTGCCGAGCAGCATGGATGTACTGTAGTGTAGCGGGACTCAGACACCTCTACCATGAGTTCCTCTGCAGACGCGCTCCTGTCAGCGGGGCAACTTTATGGTGCGCCATGCTGCCGCTGAGCCGCGCGCCACTCGGTGGGAAAGTTCTCGTTGAGAACCCCGCTTGTCCTACTTTCTTCACTTTGCTATACCGTGTGACAAAATGCAGAAAAGTGTCCGCTACAACGAAGGGCACGCGCTCTTTCTATCGGCTGTAGCGCGTAAAGAGGGGACTAAGCGCGGCTATCTGAGCAAAAAGACAGCGGAGAACAGCCGATGGCACGAGAAGTTCTTCGCCCTCTATCAGAATATATTGTTCTACTCCGAGAACGAGCAGAGCACGAGACCCGCCGGGATTTACCTGTTGGAAGGATGCACCTGCGAGCGCGCGCCGGCACCCAAGGCATCTACCACTGGGAGGGAAGCGCTGGAGAAACAGGTCAGTTTTTCACTCAACACTGATGTGTATGAAAGTTCTCACATATTTTCTGATGATCCCCCAAATCTGCCCAAACCCCCATGACATCATCATTGTGCAGTCACTGATTGTAAGTCCAAAGAGATGCATATCTGGAAGCTGATATGTCTTGTTTATCATATAACCCATTGCCACCAAGGTCTTTCTAGAATATGTGTTGTTTATTTACATTGAAAGAAACATAAATGAAGAAATTAGAAGTTCAAATTGTTTCATCACTCTCAAAGGGACGCCCATGTAGGCTACAGTAAAAAAAAAAAAAGCAAGTGGCTCATGCAGCGTCAGACTGAAGTGGCTGCAGCAGCTCAGCCTCTGCAGTGTCAAGAGCTCCAAGTGCATCATCCCCGAGCAGGTGATAACCAAAGATTCAGATGTGCCAGAAAGAGCATGCTGCTAGGACAGTTAGGTTCCAAAAAGCATGTCTTCTTCCAATTAAAAACAAAAACCAGGTCCTTTTTATATTATATTTATTTTTTTGTACTCTCTTAAGTAGGCTACTTCTCTTTATCTCTGAGGTCATAACATTTGCCCGATGTCTCCCCAAAACGTACTTGATTTGAAACCTGTTTAAAATTACCCTGATAATCCATCACAAATGTATTATAAACGATAGGAAGTTATTCTGAACACCACCTTTTTCAGTCAAGCTTGACCTTTGTTCTTATCCCACAGTCAAATTAATATAGTCTGAAGTAGAAATGCAGCAACAGGTTCTTTCATTTAACCTAATGAATTCTATACATCTGGAAAATACTTTTTATTCTACACACAATATTTGTATTTAGCAGTGCAACAAATCCACATCATCTTTACATTGAATGAAACATGTATTCCCTATCTTCCCGCTATCTCATATGAATGTATTTTTGCTTTATTTAGTTACACATACTACAGCTTGGAATATTTAGTGTTTTTTTTGTAATCTTGTTATCTGAATTACTATTGAAAATAAACCCTTGTTTAAGCAATGCAGTGTTGTGGACCCATTTCTAAATCCTGCAAACGCTGATGAAGGTCAGAGATTCTTGACTTAAAGGCAGTAATAGGGGAGGGAGTATTTTTGGCAAATCTGTTGGTGATGTGCTGAGAGAGCTGCCTCAGCATTGTTGCTCCAATAGCTAGGTAGATCTGGTTGCTAGGAAACATTTGAATTATAGGCCTACCATGTGCACATGAATTTCATTGAGAAAAAATCAAACTGATCACATGTTTTCAGCTTGCCTCAGAGATGTGAATAGTCCTCATTACATTAACAATTTAGGGAGAGGGATATACTGGAGAACATTGCATTTTACAGTGCATTCTTTACAGATGTATGCAAATGTCCAGTGGCTGAAGGGTGCAAATGCTCTAAAATGGCCATATACACTTCCATTAGGAGAAACGCTCTGCAGCTTCAGAAACTATGCAAATATCCTCATCAAGATGATGAAGGAGGACAGATATCTCTTTTTGAGGACAACATTGCAAGTGGTTCTAACCCTTAACACCTATTGGTACTGATGTTAGCATGGAACCCGCTTATTTTCTTTTATACACACTCACACTGACTGTCTCTCTCCCCCCATCTGTCAACAGCTGTGATGTTTAATTAGGGTTATTTTCAATTTGCCTTCAGCTGAAACCTGGTGTGCTCCAAAGTCATGTGTATCCATAGCCATGCACACGAGCGGCACATATAAACCCAATATCATTGTATCTTTGAACACTGTATCTGGCTTATAATGTGCGCAGGTGTATATGAAGATCATATCTCAGTTAAGGATACGTTTAGGCTGCTCCTGGGTCTGTTTCCTTGTGCAAAGGGTTGTTAGGATAAAGTGAGAGAAGGCCTTCCATCTCTTCATCAGTCACACTGGCTCTTCACTGTTTTTCTGTGCAGTAGAGTGAGTCTGCCAGCAACCTACTGTATTCACACCCCCACAGGGAGCCACAATGCAACCACACAAATAACACACATCTACTGCCCTCTCTCTCTCTCTCTCTCTCTCTCTCTCTCTCTCTCTCTCTCTCTCTCTCTCTCTCTCTCTCTCTCTCTCTCTCTGTGTTGTACTCTCAGAAAGACCCAACCCCCTTCAAATTATTTAGAGAGCATACACACTGATCTGAATGGTTTCCACAGCGACTGTAGACGTGCATTGCTGATATGAACAGGTGATTGTCTGTGTGGTGTGTGTGGAAAAGACCAGATGTAGCTGTGTATAGTTGTCAAGTGTTGGGTTGTGTTTTGATCCAGAAGCATGCAGTTATACAGAGGCCGTGAACCAGGGGAGTGCTGGTATTGCTTTATTGAATGACAGTTTGCCATGTTGTAGAAACAATTGTTGTTGGACTTTGTTGGACTATACTGTAGGTTGGTAACATCATTGAGTTGTGCCAGAGCCAGGATCCAAATACATAAGGAAACAAACTGAGAAAATCAATGCTACATTTATTTACAACAAATTATAACCTTACCATAATAAAGGTATACATCAAGAGTTGTTTCTTCAAATTGATGTTTTTCTCCTTGTGCTCCCATAAGGGTTAAAGGAAACGTTTTTTAAGTGTTTCTAAAATGCCAATATTTCCTTGTTTCAATCATTTTGGGCACTTCAGGGCCACCTTACTGTTGGTAGCACTGAAAAGACCGTTCTATATCAACGTTATTATATATTGGACAATTGAGAATAGGATATAGATCAATAGTATATTAAAGTTTTGTGTTTGTAGATGTAAGGCTCAGTATCGTGATAAAGGATGCTTCAAAGGAATGCACAATAAAGTTTTTAAGGAGATTGTAGTTATATAACATAAACATCATAATTAAAGGTTAATTCAATGCTGTGATCTGACTGCTATGACTTTAATAAAGTGGGTTTTTGTTGAGATACTGTATCGATACATAAGAGTTATTTACAGCAGTGTCCTTCCTCATTGGACATGATGCTTTACAGTTTGTGTGTGTGTGTGACATCTAAACGTCTCTTTCAGAGCCTCCTGTTTTTTTTGCTGCTGCTCGCGCTAATCGTCTGCATCAAGGCACCAATTCTTGCCATGTTACTGGATTCCGATTTGCTTCCATCCGTAGGCTGCTTTTCATTTTTCTCTTTAGTCTTATGCCAGGACTTTGAGCCATTATGGACCTAATTAGTGTCAGATAACAATTTGCAGCTGGCATGCATCTTAAAATATGTCTCATGTGTTTGAAATACTGCACTAATCAAAGAAGGGTCAATGAGGGGGGGAACTTTAAAGAAAACACTCCTGGTAAAACAACGTTGTTTTGTCTTATTCTTCAGTGTCTATGAAAACTATTGCCTCCAAATTGTCAGAAGTTCATGAAAAAGCTTATTTAAAGAAGTAGAACACAGTTTTGGGACTTGTTTGTTGCCCTTTCACACTAAGCTAATGTAGAGCCATTGGTGAGCATCTGTCGTCCTTGTATTCCTATGTTTCCGATGTTTAGTGATCTGGGATAACACTTTTGGGTAATCTAAAGTTGTGTAAAAATGGTCTCAAAACTTGCAATATGTTACCAAATGCAGAACATACAATGAAAACACTGAAATCTGTTAACATAATACATTTAAGTAAAGTCCACATTTCAGTTTTTTAAGTGTAGGTACTGGTTCGCTTTTGGTTGTAATCTTTGCAGTGTGACGCAGACAAGGTGAGGGGACACAACCTTTGTTGAGTTCTTTGCAGGTACAGTGTACAGTACGTTGCAGAGTGGCCCTGAGTCTAAACATTCAATGCCAGTTGGTGATGTTTCCAGCTAGGACACTTTTTATTGCCCCTTTGTAAAAGTTAACAAAGCCTTGACTGGGCAATTTGACTTTCTTAATTAAGTTATTCCTTAAAACTTTCTCCACTCCTGCTTCATCGATATAGATTGGAGTCCTTGTTTTTCAAGAATCCCAAGCAGCTCTTCTGGATTTGTAGTCGTTGAGTGGTATGTTACTCTCTGAAGACTACTCTGCAAAAATTTTATTTTCTGCTTACTCAAAATATAGTCAATGTTTGAGCGGAAACGGTGGAAATCCAAACACCGTGACGACCTCCTAACCTATCAGGCTCTCCTCTCCTCTTTCTCTGCTTCGATCTCCCAGGCAAAAAGCACTTTCTTTCAAGATAAGATCCAATCTTCCTATTCCAATCCTAAAAAACTATTTTCCATCTTCTCCACCCTCTTGGACCCTCCAAAAGCCCCTCCCCCCTCCTCACTTCTGTCAAGCGACTTTGTTACCCACTTTGAAAAAAAGGTTGATGATATTCGCTCTTCTTTTTCTGACTCACCTTTACTCACCGCTGGGTCACCAGACCCTCCTTCCACCAACACACTTACCTCCTTTTCCCCTCTCTCTCCAAGTGAGGTTCTTACCCTCATTACCTCTGCCCGCCCTACCACCTGTCCTCTGGACCCTATCCCTTCAAACCTCCTTCAGACTATCGCTCCTGATATTCTACCGTTTCTCACCCATTTCATCAACACTTCTCTAACTTCTGGTCACTTTCCAAACAGTCTCAAGGAGGCAAGAGTAAACCCTCTCCTAAAGAAACCCACTCTCAACCCGTCTGATGTTATAAACTACAGGCCTGTCTCTCTCCTCCCGTTCCTGTCTAAATCACTTGAACGCGCTGTATTTAAACAACTCTCCTGTTATCTCAATCAGAACAACCTTCTGGATCCGCACCAGTCTGGTTTCAAGGCAGGTCACTCCACAGAAACTGCTCTCATTGCTGTCACGGAGGAACTGCACACTGCCAAAACTGCATCCCTCTCCTCTGTCATCATCCTGTTGGACCTGTCTGCTGCATTCGACACGGTGAATCATCAGATCCTCCTTCGCACTCTCCAAAAACTTGGAGTTTCAGGCTCTGCACTTTCCCTCCTCACCTCATACCTGAAAGACCGTACCTACAGGGTGACTTGGAGAGGGTCTGAGTCCGACCCTTGTCAATTAACTACAGGGGTCCCT